AGGGGAGCCCTCATCGCTCCCTACAACTGCCTGAGAGGAGGCTGTAGGGAGGTGGGGGTCGGCCTCTGCTCCCTGGTAACAGATGGTAGGACGAGGGGGAATGGTTTGAAGTTGTGCCAGGGCAGGTTTATGCTGGACATTAGGAAAAACTTCTTCACCGAAAGGGTTGTCAGGCTCTGGAGTGGGCTGCCCAGGGAGGTGGTAGAGTCCTCCTCCCTGGAGGTATTTAAAAGAAGGGCAGATGAGGTGCTTAGGGCCATGGTTTAGTGGTGGGATGGCAGGGTTAGGTTAAAGGTTGGACTCGATGATCTCAAAGGTCTTTTCCAACCAAAGTGATTCTGTGTTCTTGGGAACCTCGCTGCACAAGAGGCAGGTGTGTGAGTTAATTCAGTCTCTTCAGTCACCTGCTTGCTTGCTGGGAGAAGGGCATTTTGACAGGACACCAGGAGGAGGCAGGTGGGGATTCCTGGGCTTCTCCAGTGGAAGTAACGCTAAAAATAGGTGTTGTCCTCATGCTGCAGAAGGTGTAAGCATTGGCTTTTGTAGCAGGCTCCAAATGGCCTTGGGACAGCCCTGAAAAATAGGCATGGCCTCCTTTAGGATAATTTTTTTGTGCTCGGTAACTGAGAAAGGTGAGTCTGGTGTGAGGTATTGGCACGAATGCTTGCTGTCCTATTAGGCTGGGGTTGGCTTTCCCTTCATTCTCTACCTGCAGTGCTATTTTGCAGGTAGGCATCTGGAAAAGGTTGTACCTCTCACCACAAGTGTTTTGCAAGGGCAAAGAGAGGAATAAATGTGTGGGCTCTGAGCACACAAATGGTTGTGCCATGTGTCCTTTGATGTACTGCTTTATTTTTCACCCTGTGCAAAGAATTAAATGCATTTTGCAGTGTTTTTCCTTGCTTTTTGTCCTCTCCATCACTGACCGGGGTGATTTTTAGGAGTGCCAAAATCCTGGTTTTATGAATTGTAAAGCTGAAGTGCTGCACTGTGCTGCAGGTGAATGCACCTGCAAGGAGGGACAAATGCCGAGTTATTTCCAAGATCCAGTATTTTTGCCACAAGGTGGCATCAAAGATGACAGTTTATCAGAGCCGGCAGAACCGACTTTTGCCCGATCAAGGTCTGCACAGTGTATTTCTTGCAAGGAGGCAATACACAAATATATTGCTTCCAAGCAACAAAAGCAAACCCTTTCTTTAGTTGAAGGTCAGCCTACCATAAAGATCAAAGTTGCAAAACAGAATCGTTTCTCTAGGAGGGACTGACATCACAGAATCACAGAATGGCAAGGGTTGGAAGGGACCTCGGGAGATCACCCAGTCCAACCCCCCTGCTCAAGCAGGGTCACCCAGAGCAGGTTGCACAGGACATTGTCCAGGCTGGCTTTGAATATTTCCAGAGAAGGAGACTCCACAGCCCCCCTGGGCAGCCTGTTCCAGTGCTCTGTCACCCTCAAAGTAAAAAATTTTTTCCTCGTATTCAACTGAAACGTCTTATGTGGTAGTTTGTGCCCATTGCCCCTTGTCCTGTCGCTGGGCACCTCTGCAAAAAGTCTGACTCCATCCTCGTGACACCCACCCTTAAGATATTTGTATGTGCTGATGAGATCCCCTCTCAGCCTTCTCTTCTCCAGGCTGAACAAGCCCAACTCTCTCAGCCTTTCCTCATAGGGGAGATGCTCCAGTCCCCTCCTCATCCTTGTTGCTCCCCGCTGGACTCTTTCTAGGAGTTCCTCATCTTTCTTGAACTGGGAAGCCCAGAACTGGACACAGTGCTCCAAGTGGGGTCTCACCAGGGCAAACTCTTCCTCATTTCCAGAAATGTAGGACTATCCAAACATCTGGTCTTAAGAAGTTTGGGGATAAAAGAGTATTCGGAAGGCTCAACTTCCTAGAGGATCATGTGGCTGTGAGAATTGGCGATGTTTTTAACAGGAAGGAGAAAAAAACCTAACAGTTGAATGGTGAAAATGTGAAGGGAGGGAAAGTGAAAATGGCAGAGTGGTTAATATTTGGCTTTTATCGTTTGTACAAGATTAGATGTCAAGAACTGTGCGTGAGGCAAGGCAGGAGACATGATGACTGCGTTGAGTCGTGACACAAGTCCTGAAGCACCTTCATGAAAACCCTGAATTGAAGGAATCGCTTTTCTCAGCAACGATATTCTGTAACTCTAATATGTAAGGAAAAAAGAGGAAAAAAGAGTTATACCCTTTATGTGTTTAAGATTTGGGATGAAATTAAGGAATGTGCTGTTAAAAGTAAGGATCAGAACAAGAAAGCTGTTTTTTAACACATATATATAGGCTCTTTTTTTTTTTTTTCCTCTGACCACAGCCTTATCACTCTGTTTTGAATTGATTGGTGACGGTGTACACAATTATGGATGTGGTCAGCAGTAACTTGGAAAAATACCTTCCATTTTTCTTTCCTACAAGTGGTATTGTAGTTTTTATTAAACACTTGCACTAAAGTGACATCTAGAGACTGGAGTCTGTTGGTCTAGGAGCTCTCCTGCACACACTAAAAGTGATTGTCAGTTCTGAAGAGCTTATTCTCCAGCGAGATAAAGCAGAAAATTGCTGGCAATAGCTTTACGTTTTATTTGGGAATAATTTGGGAATTTAGTATTGCGTTACTTCCTCTACTTGCATAGCTAAGCACAACCATTTGTGGTGTTTGCATTCTTGCAGATTGCCAAAAAACATAAAAATTATTGCCAGCCTCTTTCCGAGCCTCAGTCAGTGCTTACGACCAGTCACCAATGTGTCATTTTAAAACACGGGTGGCTACGTCGCTGAACAGTGTGGTCTCAAGGTGGATTACTGAAGTGTGGATTAGAATGAATTGTGCTGGTGGGGGTTTTTTTTGGGTTTTTTTGTTTTTTGTTTTTGTAAGTATAGTTGAACAAGGGGTCAAACAAGCCACAGCTATCTCTACAACCAGCTCCAAATATTTTACCTTCCTGGTGTACGTGGAACTGTATTTTCTGACCACCAGAGGGTGGTGTCATTCCAAACAATTGCTTTTGGCGTGCTCCTGTAGCAGCTTTATTTTGTGTTCTGCCACTGACAGGTGAGAATATAGATCTTCTAGATACAGGTGCAAGCCCTTAGTTTTGTAATTTGTAAAAAACAAACGTTCAAGCCTGGAATGTCTTTTAAAATTCATTTTACAACATGTAGTTTCTTAAAACTGAATGAGTTGGGCTCATCAGTTTCTTCTTCCTTGTGGTGCTGCTGGGTCCGTGTCTCATTCCAGGCTGTCCCTGTGTCTGCTCCGTGTACCAGGTTCCCTCATGCTCCTGCCTGCTCTGTACCAGGATGGATATAGTTTCCCTTTTCTCTGATACTCCCCACTTTCTTTTCTCCTCATTTCAGAGTCCCTCCACATCCATGTCTCCCATTTTCCCTTCCATGCATATCAGTGCTTGTATTTTCTTTCCTATTTGTGTATATTCCTATTTTCCTTCTCTGCTCGAGTTCCCATATTTCCTGCTCTTTCCGTCGCATTTATGCAGTTAACTTTTCTTAGCTCTGTGTATGGTTTCAGCGCCCTTCCTTCCTAAAATTCCCTGATCTACTTCCTTTTCCTATGGGAGGCTGAGTCATTCGGAGGGTATCAACATGCCAAGAATTCTTGGATGGGTTTTGCAGGGGTGAAATTGGGCATTGTCATGCTGGAAGGTGCCGGCAGACGCTTCCAACCACTTTAATGTTAATGAGCAATTGCAGAGGAATTGAATCTGTAGTTCAGCTAACTGTATAGCAGGGAATTCATGTGCCTCTGTTTTCTCTGTTGTGGTTTAGTTGGTTTTCCCCCAAATCAGTAGCTTTCCACTGACATTTAAAACTGGAAATCGATTAGATATAGAAACTAAAAGTAGTTGTAGTGCCTCCAAACAGAAAAACCTTGCTGAGCACAGGCCCTGGCAAGCTCAAGCACAGCTTCAGCGCAGCTTTTCTTTGCAAGCAGCTCTGGAAGTTTAGGACATTACCCCTTTCCAGCTGCTTTTCGTGGCAGTTGAAGGACAGTGCCAGACTGCACCAGAGGGCACTCCGAAGCTCCGCTGTACCTACACTGCCATGGAGACGGTAATCCTGGTGCCTGGGCGATAGGAAAGAGCCGGGGATGGCGACACTGGGGGAATTGCTCAGTAGATATGAGTATGATCTTTTAGACAATATATCCAAGAGTGCTTGATAGGGCAAGAAATGCCACCACTGCACGTGAGGGCTATTGCTGTAAGGTCCTGGTGAGGGTACTAGCACAGAT